GTATATTATGCTGCAGTATTCGGGGATGCGGAGGGTGAGCAGCTTGAAAAGCAAGAGTTATGTGGATTTTGTTGAATATGTTGAACACAGATTGTCTGATATGCGCTACTTGGTATTATGCCTGTTCGGAGAAATTTCTGGTAGATGAATACCTAGTTCCGAGATCATGCGTGGACAGCTGTGTAGAGACGTGTTCATTGTTTAGTGGGATAGATCTTTCAGAGATGGAACAACCGTAAGACATGATGCTTGATTTCTTAGCCAAGTGGTGCATAATCCACGTGTGGCAACATGACTCAAGGGAACGTAAGTCATCTTGAATGAACAGTATCGTTCCGTGAAGTTCGTCACGCCAAAACTTATGGACGACCTTGAAATCATCAGCAAATACAAATGGTCTACCATGTTTTACAGATGTAGTGATGTCATTGATGTAGGGCATAAAGACTAAGGGACCGAGCACGCTTCCTTGAATGACCCCATTAGTAATAGAGCCTGGAGAAGAGCGATAGTTTCTGGATTTACCGAGTTTCGGTGGAATGGGATTTCTGCTGCCATGTGTGTTGTGAGAGCTTCTGCTTTTGGCACCATCCATTACCAGTATGTTCGTCACTGAATGCCGGAACGATCAGTGTCATCGTTGGAAATTTGCAGAAGCATTTTTTATTACAACAAGCACAGCACAGTCAGGTGAGCTGTTACGCGCCAGGAGCTGGCCAGCGTGTTGAGAACAAAGATAGCAAAAATGGCATGTGACTTTGTGGGTTATTCCAACTACTCCGTTCCACTAATCCCGGTAGACCATCCATCAGAGATGCGTGCATTGACAACACCGGCCTCCTAGTGGAGCTTAAGGATGGCATCTGGTTCGCTGGCGAAGCACTTTCATGAACCTCGTGTTCAGACGGCTGGGGTTTAGTCATCATCTGTCTAAATCCTTAATTCAGTACGCAGCCATATCCCTCCGTCGCTTCCTTGCCATATATTCGGTTTCTCTCGTGACCCTACGATCTGTGAAAGACCTCGTCATAGGCTACCTCAGTACTTGTAGCCATGAGTTTAGCTGAACCGTTAACAGCGATGTCTTAACTTGATGCACATCTCCACGATGTGAAAGCACTCCAAGCTACAAAAGTGGTAGGGGTGCAGAAGCAGTGAATTAACGCCTGATAACACTACTTCTGATGATCTCCAAGATCATGGAGTCCATTGTATCTGATGCGCTTATGAGGTATCTAAAGCGAAACAAAATTCTCCCTCTTGAGCAGCATGGATTTCGCCAAAATCGGTCCTGTACTACTAAGTCATTCATAGCTCGTACCTGCCGGATGGGATCTGTGGATGCATGTGTAGGAAGAGATGCCGCTTACCTAGATTTCTCAAAGTCACTCGATCATCTGGACGATCGTATTCTACTGCACAAGCTTCACAATTATGGAATCAGCAATCCCGCTCTGAGTTGGATAGGCGACTTTCTCGTTCATTATCTTCTGAATGTAAGGGTTCGCAGCACCCTATTCGAACCAATCAAAGTTCAATGCAGTGCGCCTCAGGGCTTCCTACTCAGTCCCCGCTTATTTCTGGTCTTTGTAAATGATATCGCGGGAGTACTATCTTCAAACTTCTTACTATTTGCCGATGATCTAAACATATGGCATACTACCGCCACAATAGAGGGCAACACAGCCCTATAAGTTGATCTGGATAAAGCATACACATCGTCCATTGAGAATATGCCGCAGTTCAACTCCACCTAGTGCAAAGTTCCCAATATACGGCATCAGAGTACCCACAACTACCGACTAAAGCCACAAATTCTACAGCGGGCTTCTCATGAGTGTGATGTCGGTGCACTCTGGAAACATGACTGGTTGTTTGAGACAGACTGAAAAGGCATCAAAGAAAACAAACCAGCACTTCGGCCTCCTTCGTAGAGCTTTCGGGAAGTTCGACGCCTCTATCTTTCCCAAAATGCTTGGCATGTACGTGCGATCGCATGCGGAATATACTCACCAAGCGGGGCAACCCTGACAGAAGCACCACCTCACTGCGCTCGATACGGAACTACGCAGAGTGACGAAATATGTCAGCGATGTATCCCACCTTCTTTACCCATTCTGGTTGAAAACTCACAAAATGTACAGCGGACATTGTCGGTGTCTACGAGGAGATCTCATAATGATGTATTATATCCTAAGCTACTCCGACCACACATGCCACCGTCTTTTTAAACTCAGTCAAAACATATTTCTGAGGGGCCATTAGTGTATGTAAGCCACACAGTACAGCCGACTGGATTGTCAACGAAACGTTTTCTCCCTCCGACTTTCACAGCCCTGGAACTCCCTCCTTCGCATATAATTGATTCCCCCACTTTATCTCTATTCAAAAATGCCTTGATGATACCCTGTCACATTTACACTACAAGATATAGCCCATGACCATCAGATGGTGGCATTAGAGCAGAACAAATAGCTGACGTTCCCATAATGCTTTTAGAATCTAGGCAGAAATACTCACGTCTGTGCAAACACAAACCTCTTGCTGAGTTATGTATTTCGCGCGTTTTTTTACCAATACTGTTTTTTATCTAGGGGACTTGTCAAATATTTGCTTTTATACCTGTCATAAATCATTGCTGCAACACATAATGCAGTCACTTGATCAAGAACATGGTGTTCTTCGGCCGCTTGACATGTTCATTATGCACTTTATCCCTGTTTCTTGACATACGTTTTTCATTGGATACGCGTGCGTGCACTTGTGCATACGGGCTATTTGTTTCTTTTCATCCACATCAAGATAACTGGATTGGCTCTATTATGTTGTCTCAGCCCTGGTTGACTGGCTCAACTGAAGTTTATAATATGAATCCCGCGACAATTGCCGCATCAGTGTGCGAAGGGACGGACTGACGTAACGTAGTCAGATAGCCTATGGCGCTCTCGCTTTTATTTACCGTGATTACAATTGCTAGTTCCCAGCTCCGAACTTTCGGAGTGTCTTCACTCTTTTCCGTTTACTCTCTGTAACGATAGCAATGGTTTATTCTCGATTTTTCACGGGATATGTTCGGAGAGAACTGATCATCCTTTTTCTTGCCATAATAGTAGATGTAATTGTTAAGCGCTAACACTACGTCACCTGACGCGTAATATCCAAACAAGGTGTGTCAAACCGGCGGACGTTTCCAATCACATCTGCATTCGCACAAAGGATATCGTAATTTCGTCGTTCTACGATCTGAATTCCAACTTTCGTCATTTAAATTTCGCGCCAGTGTTTTGTTCGCCTACAAACAGCACGCCTTTTTATCCAAAAAAAGTTTTTATGCTTAAAATTGGCGCATCATGGCCGCCACGCGCAGAGCTCAGACGCGTCTGTCTTGCGACCCAAAGGTCAACAGTTCGAATCTGCGTAGGTGTGCGCGCCCCGCAGTATCCCTAGTTCGCACGTGGCTAGTGGTGGTCGCACGGCAACGCTACTGAGTACCGATAACCCGCTGATGCTCTTCTTTATCACCTCATACTCGATTTAAAGTGCACACGCAGGTGGTTGTAGTTGCGGAACAACCAAGTTTTGACTACGTATATATATATATATATATATATATATATATATATATATATATAATGGTTGGCGACATTCGGATTTGCCTGTCACTGTGGCCAGCCACAGGATGCCTGCGCCTACAAAGGGACCATAGATGGCTTGCGCTGCACCATCCACAGCTCCAACCACAAACCCCAAATCCAGTGTAAACCCGAAGGAATAAGACTGAGAGGCATGTGGATGGGAGCCACGTTTCATCAACGGAGCCGGCCCACACTCCTTCACAGGCAAGCACAAGCATGCTATATTTGGGGAATCAAGCGCACACAAAGCGGTGGCTAGACCGTATTCCGCTCCACACTGAGTACCTGGAACCACTCTTCGAACTTAGCAGGGCCACAAGGACCCGTGCACCCCATCCCCTCCAGCAACGACCAGCGATCTCCTGGAGCCAGTATGGACGAGGTAGTGGGTAATAGACACGTTGTCAACATGCACATCAAGTGCAGCCACACCGGGGATATCAAACAACATCCAGTAACTTGAAACGACAAGATGTAATAAAATAAATCGGTTAATGCATACAGATACGGTAACATAACTCTTCACTAAACAAGCATATTAAATAAATTGGTTGCAAAAAATCCGCAAAAGTTTCAATACCTCAGAAAATATATCTTAAGAAAATGCCACAGCCGCGAAAATGTTATCGAAGTTAACTACAATTTGCTTAAGCGACGTGTGCAAGGTTATAGAAGATAGTTCAAGTAGACATTCATATGAGATAAAAAAGCATTGGGGTAATATAGCACACCCATCACCCGATATAGAGACTCAGCATGCAAGCACGCGGTTAGTACTTTGAGTGCACCGTGCCTACAAACGCTGCGCCGGTTCTGTCTACGTTTTCTCTAGGACCCGTTGTCCCTTCTGCAGTGGTCCCGAATGGCCTCGCTCATGGCTCACTGGCAGCTTGCACTGTCAGCCAGCGCCTGCAACTTATGCCACTGAGCCATGGCATCGGATCCATTAGGTTCCGATACATGTGCGCTATTGACAATACCCAACCTATCAAACGTTTGCCTAATGCTTTCCGAATATGTGGAGGACTGTCTGATTTGGAAGCTGCTGTAGTGAAGCCACAATGTATTACATGAAAATCTCCCACTCATGAGTATTCCGCAACTGTATCAACTTCCCATGAAGCTTATTATATGAATGTGATCTGTAGTACGCACTTGACAATATGCAGAATAGCTTGTTACCACAAAAATCGTGCGGTACATTGGTTTTACAAATTTCTTTGGAAAGAGCGTCTTCAACGAACATAAGTATACAACGATGCTATTTCGCAGTGATCACCACATGTATTTCACGTACTACCGGTTTATCATCCGTATCGCATTATCTTCCTCTTATCTGCTCATGCATTGTCTCGCCTTGTCTAGGAACACGAAACGCTGAATGCGGAGAACGCACGCGATCTCCTACGGCGAATGTTGGTCATTGATCCACTAGAACGAATCTCAGTGGATCAGGCTCTCCGGCATCCCTACATCAATGTATGGTACGACGATTCTGAGGTCAATGGGGTAGGTGTACTCGAGACTCTTTGCATTTGACCTTCTTTGGCTTGCATCCAGGTAGCACAGTTGTCCTCATTTTATCTGGCGCAGGTTCATATGTGATGGACCATGGCGCATTTCGCGCCTGTTCCATCGCGCGGCTGCCACTACACTCTTGTGACGCTATCAAGGACGAAGCTGATCACGTACGTCGATGTCGCCTACTTTGAACCTATAGTCCTGGTTGATGAGTTCAGCCGTCTAGAGGCATCTGCTCGATTTCGGTTTGAAATGTCCAGGGAGTTAATCCAAATGCGTTTGATACAAACACTGGAGGGCTTGCCACGAGCCATCTGTAGTGCCTAGGGCGTGTCAGTGTTCGGCATTACCAAAGGAAGAACTTTCTCCAGCATAGTGTTGAGCGTGAGAACCTCCAATTGCTCAAACACAGGGTACTACTTTGGGAGCATGTGTTCAACCCTGAGGGATCGAAACAAGCTCCAGTAAAGATAAAGGAAATGCCACGATCTACTAATGTTAAGGAAGGTAATCAACTATGCTGACACTGACGCACTTAGAGAAGTTATCAACAGTGGAAGAACAATCAGGAGAGGCATCAGCAGTTCGCCGGTACACAGTACTGACACTTCGCTTCCACAGAGCCAGTATCAGTCGCGCGTGGACTAAGGATATTGTGAAGGTCATCTACGCAGGCTCGAACCCGCGACCACCGGATTGCAAGGCAGGCGTGTGATCCGTTTGGCTACGGGCCCGCGAACAGGTGAAACTCTTTGATAAAATCAAAAGTTTCATTGCGGGTACCCTGCTCCTCGCCTACTTTAATCCATCTCTTCTCCGTCGCACTACAACTATAACTAGTATGCAATAGAATCCATGTCGATTCAAATTAGAACTCTCCGGGCTTCTGAGTTGGGCTCTGTCGCCAACAAATCGCCGCACAATTTGAAGAGAAATTGCTTTTATGCACTTAAACGATAACACTTTGGGAGGGCAAGCTACCATCCCCACTGATCGATGACCAACGCTTGGTGTCAATTGTCAGGAACGTACTTCACGTCACCTTTAGTGGATGTGATACGATTTAGGTGTCATCCGTTAACTCGGATCTAACATATTCCTCATGGCATCAACGGTACGCCGGTACGCATTACCGACGCTCCGTTGCTGCGCAACCACCACCGGTCGCACGCGGGCTAAGGATAATGTGAGGGTCACCCTGCCCCTACGCAGGCTCGAACCTGCGCTTCCAGACTACAAGACAGGCTCGTTACCTTCAGGCTACGGGCGGGCTACGAGCTGTCACGACTAGGCTGGACATTAACGTGCTGCGACGGTTTGTGTACTTTATCGACTGTTTGAGCTTTACTGGGTGGGGCCCTTGGGCCTCTTAAGAGCTACTCCTACCAGGTTGGTCAATGGTGAGAGGTCAGACGAACTCAGTCTCCTGGTCTTCCAGGTTGGGGGGTTGAAATGGGATGGCGTCCATTTCTGTAAAACTAAATCCTTGCCACCTCCCAGCTGCCTTGCGGACAGGCTCTTGAGTCAAAGGTTTTGGATGAGGACCCTAATGGTCCTCCTGTCTAGGTCTGGGCGCCCTGGCAGTATCTCAGCCCACATACAACCATGACATTTTCTTCAAACATAAACTTTATCCTGCATCGGCCGTCGCGCAGCTTATCAAGTGTCGCCCTATCTGCTGCATACAGCAGGGCGGATAAGCGAAAGCATGCTACTTCTGGCGCCTCCTTTCTTTCCTTTCCAACCTTTTTCTCTTATCCCCCTCCCAGCTCGAATTCCTAGCCTCCCTCCTATAATTCCCAGTTTAATTGACAGCAACCGCAATGTCACTGGAGTCATATCATATGTAACTATGTTCCCACATCACCCACTGGACACTAATCTCCAACAGTCCCGTTTTCCTGGCGGCGTTCAACGTTCGCACTCTAAGACAAATAGCTCGACAGGCTGCACTCGCACGCACGTTATACACGCTGGGTATTGACGTGTGTTATGTGTCCGAGACTAGGATCTAGGACACACTAGGTTGTTGAATTGACTGCACCCGGCTCGTCCTCTCGCTATTGGTTGCACACATCCGGGGACGCTGATGCGGCAATCACTGGTCAAGATCGAATAAGCATTGTTTTCAGCTCCAAGGCCAAGTCATTGTTGGTTGATTGGATTCCCCTGAACAGCCGTTTGTGTGCATCCCGTTTGACATCAACTAAGGTTGATTCACGAAGTTGCACTAGGCGCTGTTTGTGGTTTCCGCTTATGCCCCCACCGGCTGCAGCTCTGATGCTGCGAAGAACGCTTTCTACCATGAACTGAACACACTACTATGCAGTGCTGCCAGTTCAGACCTCTCTTTTGTTGCAGGAGATTTGAACGCGCAAGTAGGTCGTCTGAGCTCTTCAGAAACTTTGCTAGGTGTTAATTATGGATTTAACTTCGAAGGGATGGACGATGGTGAACATTTGTTACAGCGGTGTGGGGGCACCAGCTCTTTCGTCGTAGTACCGTTTTTATACACACTGGACACCGAAGCGCCACTTGACTTCCTGTAGCTGACCAGCGATGTATCCAAATAGATCACGATGCCATAACTTACAGGTGACCTGTTTCCACCCTTTATTGTCACTCATTCTGGAGTACTTGTCTCGACACTGATCATTCCTTGGTACGCTGTCGTTTTTCTATGACCAAGCGCTTCTCATGATTAGCAACTGAGAAGTTATCTCAACCCTCAATCAGGCAAGCCTACGGAGATGCGCTGCATATCGAACTTTCGCTCACTTGTCCTAATGACACTGAGCATCAATGAAATAGAATCTCGGCCGCCCTGAAACATACAGGAGCCTCCGCTTGTGGCACTATCGATCATCACTGCATCAGTCACTGGATATCCAAAAGTTCGGTGAACCTGTGGGAATCCAGAAGAAAATTCCCGACTGGCTCTGCGCACGATGTTACCAGACGAACTATTAGTCTCGAACTGAAGCGAGGCTTGCGTGCTGACAAGGAGGCCTGGTGGACCATTCGAGCTCAAAAATGTGGGAAGCAGGAGCAGTAGGCAGTGATCGCAAGCTGATCCGCACCATTTGTTCCAGGAAACCCGAGACAGTGCGGGTGTACTGATACACAATTAGTAGCGCCGTATGGCTCCTTGGGCGGGGCACGATTTGGTTGTCCTCCTGCTTCTGGACCTCTTCCTACGCAAATGTTGCAGGCTGAACCATGGCGAGTTAGTTTAGATACTCTGTCGGAGGCTGAAGTCCAAAACGCGATCACAGCCCTCAATCTTTGTTGTGCTGCTGGCCCGGATTCCCTTCCACCTGCACTATTTAAGAATCGAGGTCAGGTCCTCTGCAAAGCACTGATCTCATTGTTCGAACAAGTCTGGAAACAGGAGACCATCCCGGTCAACTGAAGTGAATCTATCATAGTGGCAATATACGAGAAGGGCGATCGCACAAGCTGCACTAACCTCAGGAGTGTTAGCTTTACGCCAGTTGTGACAACATTATTGGCCTCAATCCTGGTTCGTCACCTCACTGCGGAACGGGAATTCCGGATTAGGGACGAGCAGGCCAGGTTTCCGCCTAGGACAGGGCTGAATAGACCACATACTCATTCGGCTGCAGGTGCTAGAGCAGCTCTACACTTGCCGCATGCCGACAACAGCTGTGTTCCTCGACTTCAAGAGTGTGTTCGTTTCAGTCGATCGATGCATTTTGCTCGAAATACTTGCGCGGATACATGTTCCCATGAAATATGTGAACACTTTACGTGCTATATACCCAAACACCAACGGCCGCGTCAGTGTATACGGTGACTGGTCTGATAGCTTCCCGACAACATGTGATGTGCGTCTTGATTGTCCGATTTCCTCATTTTTGTTTCATTTTATCGTGGACTACATCATGGAGTGTTCATTTGTGGATTCTCACGATGCGGACGTTGAGATGCTGCGTGGTGTAAGTCTACTTGATTATGCGGACGATATCGTCTTGCTGTTTGGCCATGTAGGGGCGGCGCAATCAACCCCAAATAACCTGTGTAGAGTGGTTCCATTATTTGGCATACGTTTCGCATCTTCGAAGTGCCGTTACATGACCACCAGCCATGTGATGCCCCTTGATGACGCGGAACTCGAGGTACTTGATCTATTCATTTACCTTGGCAGCTGTATCAGCAACGATGGGCGTATAGCAACTGACGTCAGTTCAAGCATTACAAAGGCCAGAACTGCCCCTTTTCTGCGGCATTTATGGTGTGCGAATTGCTTTTCCCTTGTCTAAATGGTCGTGTTTACAAGGCCACAGTGAGGGTCGTCCTACTCTATTGGAGTGAGACTTGACCCCTTCGGTCTGAAGATTTGAGGCGCCTTCAAGCCTTTGATCATGGCTGCCTGCGGAACACTGCTGGTTTTGGGTGGCACCAGCGTGTCCGCAATAATAATGTGCATAGACGAGTGCTAGGCAATGATACCCAAGTTGGTTCCTTAGAACCACAAATAACAATGAATAACTTGCGTTAGCTTGGGCACATACTACGTATGCCTGGTCACCGCTTACTGATATGCTTGTTTCATTTACCAGATGTAGGGTGGCGGAATGCCCGTGATGGGCAACAATTAACTAGGCAGCCGGAAATGAAGTCCCTGACGACCCAACTCGGTGCCGTCGGTCTGCCTCGCCTTGCAGGCTGGAGCCTACATGACGCCTTGTACTTGGCTCGAGACGTTATAGGACCTGCCTCACAACCGACACCAGTGGCGTGTCTGCTGTGGTCTTCTAGTTCGATTGCCTATTTAAAGTGTGTTTAGTGCTTTGTTATCTGTGGGGTAATGGCTCATTATAACGCGAGGCAGTAAAAGCCACAGGGAAGCTATCTCACCGATGCCGTCTTATCTTTGCACGATGGACACTTGTTTGTTATAGTACGTTGTTGACAATGTGTAGGCGCCTTCATGCCTTGTTTGTTTAGGGCATTAGGGTTTTCCTGTACGTTCCTCTTCTCTCTTATTATTCTTCTTTCCTTAGGTTGCCGTGGTTATACTGCAACGAAGCATCAGTTCAAATGGCTGATGTTCTGCTGCTGGTGATGATGTTCATCCTGTAAACACTGTCAAGCGGAATGTTGAAGTATTTTAACACAGTTCATGTTGCACAGCGGCTCACTGACACTGTAGAGCACGTATCCCGCATTAGCACTGATGCGCGAAGAGGAAGCTGTCTGTTAGAGGTCAGCCGAGGAGTAAGAGTTGCCCATAAAACTGCCACTGCTGATTTGCTTTATAACGAAATCTAACGGGAGGAATCACTAGTGCAATGATTTACTTCGCTAAAATGGAAATGGTGAACCTCACTTCATTAGTTCTGACAACATTAGATCATAATTTCTCAGCTCTATCTTGCCGTCCAATTTAGCTGCTTTCGTTACTCTCCTGGTTTCTAGAATCAGCGCAGCTTATAGTTCAAAATCATTTGTGCTAGATTTCTGTTTTTTTATCAGCTTTTCGCGTTCGTATTATATTGATTATTGTCAACATCTAGCCCAGAACACTAAATCGACATTTTTGCATGGTGTTGCCATGGCTACGGCTTCAATAGTTCCAGGTTACTTTTAACGTTCAATCGGGTTTACCCCTTTCGCTCTCTGTGACATCGACCTGTGTCACCACGATTTCCGGAAGTAGTAGTCGGGTTGCCGCCCAGGAATAACAGTTGTCCACTGGCTTCTGTTGAGTCATCGATGCGTGTTCCACACAGTGTAGACCATAATGACACATCTTATGTGGCTCTCCATCTGAACGCGCTACGTGCGTTTGTTGGGACAAATGTGCAAAACAGCTAGCTTCTACGAAGATTATTTTCAACGTACTTATTTTCGCGCTTTCGCCGGACCGTTGTTAATAAAATTGGAAGTAACGCTTTCAAATAGATTTCCTATCAATGGTCTGTCGCGTCCTAATTTGCCGCGGCTTTTCTCAGTCTTGCAATCATCTATCCTCATCCTCTGTACAAACTGTCAGCAACGTCGGAGCGCATCCGACTCTCTATCTCGGGAATTTTGTTACGATATGATATGATATGATATTTGAAACTTAAGCACAGCCTGATGGGTAACATCTATTCTCATTCACACAACTAATCTATACTGTCACCTCCTGCCGAGCTGCTTTACACCGACACCACAACCACTCTGTCAACTCCATTGTTGCTAGGGCGTACTTGTTTATTTGCTCGATCCACGCACTCTTGGCGATTACAAATGGACAACGTCTCTCTTTGTCTATTTTCCTCCCTATGTACTAGCCCCCACCAGGTCGGTACGATGTGTCTTTATGCGAACGCGATTTGACCATTGATGAGTGGAAAACGCGCATTTTTGATGAGGTGAAGCGGCTTGAGTCTCGGAACGGGCCCATCCGTCGTGAATGATGGCATCCATGGTTGAGCGAAGATGCAGCCCCTTTGGTCATCTCCTCCCTCCAATGACGCGCGCATGCATGTCGACGAACTTACCTCTCGTTTTCGTCTCACAGGAATGTGAATTGCCGCGTTTCTCATCGAACCGAATTTTCGCCCTCGCCGCCCTCACTCCCACGATACTACTCTCGTTCTCCGTGATCAATGTGAGACAGTGCGCATTTTCGAATCCATCTTCCTTCGGATCCAGTTGATGTTTTGCCCACGACCTACTCACCCCTCAGTGGTGGGGTCCAGTTTGAGGCTGTGCTTGTCTCTTTTCTGTTTTGGAACCCGTATTTCCTCCCCTTCCCTCTCTCAAGACTTATTTTATTTCGGCTTTGTTTGCCTCTTTTTTATTATCAGTACAAACTTTGACCGGTGGTATGTTCACTTTTGCTCACGATGTTGTCTCTATGCACCAGGTTCATCACCAAGTCACTATCTCGCTTACTTGTGCATGCATCCCTCTCCTTGTGTCTGTTTCCCTCTCCCTCTCTGAATGTCCCCGTTGGATTCTCCCGGTCGTCGTTCTTTTGTTCACCACCACCAGATCACATTACATTCAGTTTCACCAGTGAAATTGCCCACTTCCCTGAGCTCATTGTACACTTTGGTATATTTCTCAGGTTTTCTTCTGCTTACCCCTGCCACACTCATTTTACTTTACCTCTTCTGTTTAATGACTTCAACTGCCATTGCGCCACTTTGCCAGTTGTTTTCGACTCTATGAACGGACCTTTCGATCCGGTTGACCTTGTGCCTCAGTGCCGTCAAGTTCAATTCCGGTACGGCGAATTTGTCTATTTTGACTATGTATTTTAGACACTAATTTGCTCGATAGTGACGAATTCATTACAATGTGCTGCACAGTCATTTTTTGACACTCCGGATTACTTTACCTCGCCGGTATTTAATGGACTTTTTGCTGTCGGGTATGCACTTAGCTTGATGCTAGAGTGAGGACGCGCATACCCATATCCGACTAGGATGCTCCTTCTCCCTTTAAAATCAAATTTAATTTTGACGATTTGATCAATTTTCGGATTCGTGGATAATGCCCATGGGAATGGTAGAAAACCCGGTCGCAAAGAGATGTCTTTTCGGCAGACCATATTAGGCAAATGCGTTTACAAAGCTGACTGAGTTAACTACAAGCTAATGAAAACTGAAGCGTAAGTGATTGAAAGTCTGAACTACTTCACATTATTCGAACGCAGTCACCTCTATCGGATCAGATGGTGGGAGCCTCACAGAGCTTGCCGACTTCTTGAAAAATTACTCAATGGAGAGGGGAAACCACACTGTCATCATCTATGTCCTATGCGGATGAAGTCTTGAAACGGCCAAGGCAAAATAATCGATAGCAACAGCATCTTTTGCTTGCAAACCTCTGGTTGCGTTAACTTGATCGCTATCGTTTCGACTATCTATAGGTGGCCAGAGACACTAACCCATTTGACCACATGTCGCATTTAGTTCTTACCATGTACATTGTAGCGTACCCTGTAGCTTCGTATCACCTCGCTAAAATGATAAGTGTCGGTATCGAAAAGATGTCGTAGCAATGGTCTGTCAACCTAACAGGCCGCGACTTTTGTCAGTCTTGAAACTATCCAATCGCATCCTCCCTGACCAATTTATCAAAATTGTCCGATAGCGATCACGTTAAGGCAATCGGAGCTCTGCAAGCAAAAAATGCTGTTTGTAACCCCTCATTTTACCCTGGCCATTACGAGAATCCATCCGCATGGGGTACAGATGGTGACAGAGTGTGGTTTCACCTCTCGACTGACCCATTTTTTATGAAGAAGTCGACGACCTTTGTCAGGCTCCCACCACCTGATACTATCACAGTGTGACTTCCGCTGGAGTAATGTGAGCTAATTCACACATTCAATCACTTACAATTCAGTTTTCATTAGCTTGTATTTATCTCACTGAGCCTTGTAAACGTATTTGCTTGATGTGATTTACAGAAAAGTGACTTCTTGGCAACCGGCTTTTCTTACATTCCCACTGACATTAACTACGAGTTGATAAGAGTAAACAGCTCTCGGTGTTTACTCATCTCAACACGTGTTTGTAGCTTACGCCAGGTTTGCGGGAGTAAAGACATAAATCCCATTTATACAGGATTGTGTGCAACACAGTCAGTATCCCAGACCTCATTGAAAATCGACTATTCTGTGTCACAGTCTCTCAAACTTTATACTTACAATCTGATGGAGGTAGTTCAGTCCCGCTCGCATGACCCAAAGCTACTTGTGTGCTTTACCGACCTAGTATTGAAGAGCTTCGAACCGTTAAACGAGCTTCTTTTAAGCAATACGTACAAGAAATTTGCTCAAAAGGGGAAGAAACTACTTGAAGCTTCTAAAATGTTGCTACCAACTCCAGAACGAAAATTTCCACTAAATCCAAAATGTTATATGTACACTCTATCCTCCTCTTCGGAGGTTAGGAATTGGTCGATGACCCTCTTCCCGCAAAACCTGGCCATGGGGGACAACAGGTCTACGGCTTATAAGCTCACCGCTCGATTGGCGTAGAGCACGAGCTCAACTCATTGTCTCTGACGCTGGGAGGTCGCCTCTGGGTGCATATTCCGTGTCCATTTTGCATATTTATTTTCCTCCAAATTATGTGTTTGATATCCCCGATGTGTCTGGGCTTGATGTGAATGCTGACAATGTGTCTACCTGTCTAACACCCTCCATCTCGATTACTGGCTCCAGGAGACTACTACTCGTTGCTGGTTGGACAGGGTGCACGGTCTTCGTGGTCGCGCTAGGGTCAAAGAGTGGTTTCATCCAGTGTGGAGCAGACTACTTCCCATCCACCGTCTTGTGTAGGTCCGGTACGCTTGCTTCCCCAATTAGACTGACTGGAATGCTGTTGTGTATGTTGAAGGAGTGTGACCCGGCTCCGTTGATAACAACCTGGCTCCCATCCACCTGCCTCCCTTTGTTATTCCATCGGGTTTACACTGGTGATGGAGTGGTTGGGTGATGCAGTACAAATCATATATGCTCCCTTTGTTGGCGCAGGCATCCTGTTGCTGTCCCCGTGGAGGCCGCAATGACAGGCCAATCCGGAGCTGGATGTCGCCATCCATACGGCTGTATCGGCTACAGCCAGAAGTCTTATCTCTCGGACCGAAATTCTGCTCCACTCAACCTTTAAGTGGGTAAGTCCACACAGAAACCTAGTTTGAATATCTATTACGCCAACTAGCAGTGTTGGTACCCATGTCTTCTCTCGTCCGAGACTTTTCAAACCACATCTCGCAACAACAGGCACGTTGCGAGAACAAGTCATCTAACATCCTAACCAGAAAAACAACGAAAGGCAAAGGATTACGGTCAAATCTTGATCTTATTCTTTCCTGACCAGATAAAGGGTCGGGGTGGTTGTAGTGGACAGATCCGCGTCCATCGGGAAACTTCACATTATTTTAAAAGACTCTAGCTGGTTCTTGCGCGCGACAATCGAGAAACACAAAACCACTGTATATGAGACAATAATTGCGAAACTCTTAAAGGAATTCCTACAGATGCAAGTGACAAATTATTCTGTACTTGCTCGTCTAACTCCTGTTGGTTCTCGAATCTCCCAGCTTCAATGTTTTCCCAAAGTCGACAAACTTCAAGTCCCCTTACGTACTATATTTGATACATCGGCTTCTGCTGTCCACTCTGTCGCAAACTGGATTGTCGAATTACTGGAACCAGTACGTAAAGTAGTATCCATACATTCTCTGAGAGATTCATTTGTTGATGCTCTCCTTTGGTTGGCGGCCTTCAACACTCGCACTCTAAGACAAATAGGTCAACAGGCTGCACTCGCACGTACGTTGGACAAACTGGCTATTGACGTGTGTTGTGTGTCCGAAACTAGGATCAAGGACCCTAATAGGGTTGTTGGACTAACTGCCCCGGGCGTTTGCAGCCCGTTTGACGGCATCAACTGAGGTTGGTTCACGAAATAGTTTGTTCGTGATTTCCGTTTATGCCCCCGCCGACTGCAGTTCTAATGCTAGCCAATGATATCCAAGTTATTTCCTTAAAACAAGTTAGTGCTGAATAAATTGCCTCGGACTGGGCACGTACTACCTATTCCCGGTCACCGTTTGCTGAAGAGCTTGTTTGCCAGATGTAGGGTGGCGCAAGGCTCGAGTTTGAGAAATTTGACTTAGCAGCGGGAAATGAAGTCACTGACGACCAAACTGGGTGCCCTTTGTCCGTTTCGCCTTCCACGCTGCAGTCTACTTGATCCGCCTTGTGCTTGGCTCGGGACTTTACAGGACATGGCTCGCAACCGACACCAGTGGCGGTTCCGCTGCCGTCTCCTAGTCAGATTGCCTGTTTAGAGTGTGTTTGGTGCTGACTTATCTACTGGGTAATGGCTGTTTATGACGCGAGGCAGTGGACGCCGCAAGGGAGCTGTCTTGCTGATGCCGCCTTATCTTTGCACGATAGCCATCTGTTTATGTCGGTATGTTGTTGACACAAGGTGTAGGCACCTTGACCCTGAATGTTTGCTTAGGACATTAAGATTTTTCCATACGTCCCCCTTCTCTCTGCCTACTATCATTTTGAGGTCATCATAGTTGTGTGGCAGCGATGCATCGGTTCAATTGGCCGATGTGTTGCTGCTGCTGCCGTTGTTGTTGTTGTTGTTGTTGTTGTTGTTGTTGTTGTTGTTGTTGTTGTTGTTGTTGTTGTTGGTTTTTGCTCTACTTTGATGTATAGTAATTCCTCACGAACGCCTCGTTATTGGAGACGTACAACTTCATTTGCTAATACATAACCGAGGAAGCAATTCATGTTGGCATTCCAATGCCAAAACTAATGGTTCTAATCTGGCGATGCACATTCAACAGGCAGCTCCCGTTTAATGGAATCTATTATCGACAGATCGAGGGAGTTAATATGGATTCATCCCTAGGACCTCTTCTCGCCGACGTCTTTCTCGATAAGCTTGAATGTGGTCCCATTCAAGCTCTTTTTGCTTCACTGGATTTCTACTGTAGGTATATAGATGATACGTTTGTCCTCTGTGGTTTGAGCGCTGATGTCGCCGTTTTACTCAATCAACTCAACCTCGCGCATCCATCACTGAGGTTCACGAAAGAAATCGAAAGGGAAGTCTAGCCAACGTTTTTGGACGTACGGATGTAGAGACAGGAAGGTGGTTCTCTTTAAAGAAGTGTCTTCCGGAAGGCTACGTGGGTGAGACAACACGCGCACTATCTAATTTTAGTGCTTCTGAGGTATAAACGTAACTTAGTTCGCTGCGTGTAACACCGCGCCTCCAAAATTTGTAGCCCTGAGACTTTAGAAAACGAGAAAGAACGCATATTTGCAACGCTGCTTTTATGCGGTTTCCTTTCCACATTTATCAACGTAGATGCTGCGGTCCGTGAACATAGTGAACATGTCATCGCAACTCCAAAAATGGATGTGCTTCTCTCAATTCCGTTTAAGGGTGACATCGCTTTCGGTCTCTGAATAGAAGGCTTTCCGCCGCAATGATCGGAACCTACCCAGCCGACAGTCCACACGTTCTTATAGAGACCACGCCATTTATTGCTCAGCGCCTTAAAAACAGATTACCAGTCAGGTCTGGATCATACGTGGTATATCAAGTTACTTGCTTGCACCTATGGTGCAAAGTACCTCAGACATAGAATCAGGCATCTGTCGATACGGATAGCTGAACGCTGTCCAGAGTTACTGCGGAAAGCTATTATCGGAAGTAACAGGAGTTCCATCCTTGTGCATCTGGACCAAGGTGAATACGCAATTCCGACCAGCGATGATTTCATCGTTATCTACACTGCGCCAAAGTGATATACAAAATGAATTAAGCC